GGATGGGACCCACCCCAGCGGGCCCAGGGGCCTGCACCGGAAATAAATCAAAACAAATAACAAGTGGGCACAGCCGGATCCGGGGGGTCCGATTTGCGACGGCTGGGCCGGTTCTGAGAGTTAAGTTGCGATAACTGCGTTTGGCGGTAGGATGAGGGAGGGGAGATAAGGGTCGGGGACAGTAATAAAAGCCCCGGAGGCCGTAGGGGGGCGGAGTTACTGGCTGGTAGGACGGTAAAAATTGCAAACAAGCAGGGCTTGTGCGCGGGGAAGGGGAGAAAAGCATTCTTACTGGCCAAAATACTTCCATCCGGCAGCCCCACCCCTCCCAGCTCTTTCGACCTGTAAGACTTAAGCCGCCATCCCTGACTCCCGCCCCCTTCTCCCGCCTCTTCCCTTGCTCCGCCCCCCCACTTCATTCCCCAGTCATCGCAACCCGATTCGAAACCCTGCTGAGCGAGTCGAGTTTTAGTAGTTGCCTGAAAATGCATAATTTGCCGGCCGGCTGGTCAGTTGCGGGAAGGACGGGTTTGCTGCTTTGCAGAAGCTCGCAGAACCCGCTTCATTCGCCAGGGCTTGTGGAGACAGGGAAGAAAGTCTGTGGAAAATAGAACACGCAGAAGAAATTCGAGCCAGAGGACAGCTGTTTGTGCTGTAAACTTGAGAAACATTTCCACATGAAATCATTAATCTAAGCACTCGCGTGGTGTACTGAGTTTTAATTGGCAGGGGCACAAACTTGCATGCCCCTGTACCGCCCGCTGTACACGCCATTTCGTTTTAGACCCATCTATGACGCAGAATTTTAATGGCGCACTCCTATGTTCGTGGAGCATTTAGTTACTTCATTAGCACTGTTAAAAACAAAATTCACAAAAACGTCATTATTGTGAGTGTTCTGTGCACTGCACTAGGGTACACACCTCAAGAACACTTCTCAACCAGTTGAAAGAACGCAAAATTTTGATATTCAACAAGTTTCACGGCTCAGAAACATATACGAAACAATAATCAGACATAAAACATTAACATTACAAAACGCTGCTCCTAATAAAAATCAAGGAGGGAAAAGGCAGAAAGGGGCTAGGGGAAGAAGTAGGCTGAAGGTAAAGAAGGAAGGGAAAGAATAACGATAGGCCAGGAGTCTTGAGAAGCGGTTACTGGTCAGACAAGTTCCGTTGCTTAAGTAAAAAACATGAGCAGAGAACAAAAAAACTGCTTACGAAAATTATGGGGTTTTTGAAGTCAACCATCTCATACTTTGCGAGCGATATTCACCTCCCAGGCGCACTAAATGGAGGCTCAAAAATTTTACTCGAAAATCTCTTCCAAAAATCAAATATTTTGCTTATCCTCGAACGTAAAAAGGACACAACAATACAGCAATTTGCATTTTTTCCGGACCAGTGAATCCTTTTAAGCTGAAAAGAATCGAGCTTTTTCTTAGGTCGTTCCATACCGTCAATAACTAATCGTGGCTGCCCTGGTGCGCGCCGCTACATACTGCATTTGCATATATGTAAAACACTATAAAAAATATGCGAGTGGAAAGTAGCATACAAATATAAAGGAGAATTAGGATGGAAAGAACTGCGAGAAGTTCAGTTAACAAGTGTGAGTTTTTTTAAAAAAAATTCTTACCCCCGTTATTTTTGCTGATAAATCGTTTATTACTGTAAGTATCGCATTTAGGAACCAGTTAATATTAGTGGGAATCATATATCTATAAACGAACAAATGATCTGGACGCAATGTAAACTTTTATACTGGAAATTAACATGTGTTTTAATAATGATAATAAGTGGGACAACTATCGTATTACTTTGTTTTCTTGATAGAATTTCCGGAGAAATCGGAAAGTCACAATGCACAAACACACACACACACAGTGGCCTTTGTTTCTCTATGCTAAATTTTTATGTCCCAAATAAAGCGGCACGTCGGTAAGAGCTAAAAGGCGTTTGCCCATAATCGGGCACGCCTTTGGCCATTAGGACTTCACACATTGTTTTGCTAGTGCTTGTAGAAAGAAGCTTTTGCAAAATAGTCTTAATATGCTGAAAGTTTTGACTTTGTGTGTTTGTGAGTGCGCTGTTTTGGCTCCGTTTTGACTGTCACAAAAGCATTTTTCTTATTATTGATGTTCAAAGCATGCCAAGCGTTGTTGCACTGGCTGCGTTCGCGGGACCATTCTCCAGGGAATTACTATTGGCTTGGTGACTTCGCCAAAAATGGCCCGAAACCTGAGTATGCACTGGGATGCGTGATTTAGGCAGCACAGCGATTACGTGTTCCTAGAAACTGAGAGAATATCTTTGTCCAGCGCGACCTCTCCACAGTCGTTACTGCCGTAATTTGTGAAAATTTGTGCTTTGATCAATCACTCTGTTTATTTTTCTGACATAATAAGTGTAAAATTTTCCAAGGATTTGCTTGCTTCCGAAATAAACATTGTCAATTAGCCGCTGATGCTTAGAGTTGAGGCGAAGACGAGGTGGTACCGTTTTTTAGGCATCAGATTTCCGTTTTCAAAATCATCGTGCACATCTGTCGGGAGCTATAATGTACTGAGTTGTTTTTTTTTTTAACTGCCTGTTTTTTTTGTGCATGTGAATGCAGTGCATCTGTCACACACATTTTTCGGTGTAAAATCTAATCTGCTTGTACTGAACCAATCTTATCAAAAAAAAAAAATCCGTCTTTTCTTAGCTCTCGATTGCATTAATTAACGTGAGCTCGACCTGACTTCATAGACCAGAGAATAAAAGCTGTTTTTTCGCCCATTCATCTGAAAAGTTCCGGAAATTTCTGCTTCCTAGCTTTTATGGTTGACATACATACAAAC